CAACTGAACCATAGCTAAGGTTTATCCAAAAAAGTTGCTAGGTTTATCAGTATGAATATTCTATGGGAAAAAAAGGGTCTGAAAGTTGCTAAAGTCGCACTTGTGTGTGTGCGACATGGGAGCTGATGGCAGGGGGCGATGGATATTTGTGGCAGTCAGTGTGGATGAGTTCTTCTGTGTCATCACGTTCTATTAGTTCTACAGCTTCAGTTTTGGAACTTTCACGCTTGGTAACACATACAGCTGTTCCCTCACCACAGTGAAAAGGGACCCCTTTCAAACAGTGTCACGTTCCGAACGTTGTTTAAGCGACGTACACTGGTATTGCGGTATTTTAAAAATGTATATCATAACAAAAATAAACACCGGTATTCAGTATACCGCCCAACACTACGTTGAATTTGTTTTTGGTCAAGCTGTAGCTAAAACGTAATGTCTTGTTTCTGTTCCATCCAAAAGGGGCTTCTTAAATTACAGAGACAGTAAACTGACCCGGATCCTTCAGAACTCTTTGGGTGGCAATGCCAAAACTGTCATTATTTGCACCATCACCCCAGCCACTGTCGACGAGACTGTCAGCACTTTACAGGTATGAGAGAAGACCTTTTTTAACTGGATTTATTCTGGATTGATATGGGTAGAGGTATTGAATTTCTTTGGGTTCTTACTGTGGTTAAAGTTTGCTAGTGCTGCCAAGCGCATGAAGAACGACCCTCACGTCACAGAGGTCTCTGATGAAGGAGCTCTTTTGAGAAGATACCGCAATGAGATTGTTGATCTCAAACGACGTCTGCAAGAGGTGAGGATGTGGTTAACTTATTTGACAATCATCCAGCAATAACATGGCCCATCATCTCCTCACATGATTGTTTTCCAACTCATTTCACAGGTTTCCTCTGTCACACAAACAACTGCGACTGAGCGAGAATCCCTGTGTCAGCTTCTGCAGGAGAAAGACCAGCTCCGGAGAGAGCAGGAGGACAGGATTAAGAACCTAACCAAGCTACTAGTAACTGCCTCAAATGTGGCCCTAATCCCTAAGGTAATGGATTTCACTAGTTTTAACACTAGTAAACCTCGGTGTTAGTGAAG